CTAAAAATTGTTTCTTTCCACAACAAATTTACAATAAAAAAGCTACAATTAATGCCGTTATAACATTTTAAATATCTCAATTCTATCGACTAGATGTATGGTGTCAAGTAAGCACTACATACCATATTTTTCAAAAAATTAGAGCTACACATTTTTTCTTTCCACAACAAATTTACAACAAAAACACTACAATTAATGCCGTAGTTAACTTTTCCAATTTCGAAAAGTGTAGTGCTAACTTGACACACGTGATAAATTTCGGTAATTGATGCGTTTGTTTATCTCCCATGTCCACCGCGTGGGACACATTCAGTGCGGAGCCGTTTCCATAAATGTCCCTATATCCCAGGACCCATATTAGGGTAACTTCGTGTTGATCAGAGATATAGCCCAATTCTTTCCTACAGTCTTCCACTAGTAGAGATCTAACAGAGGTTGTTGTTGTTGTTGTGGTTGTAGCGGCTACAACAACCCCGCCCAGATCGGTTGATATCTCAGTCGTTGTCGTCAAGTTCCACTAACGGCAGCCCTAGGAAGCGTGCAGCCTCCACCGGGTCGGTCCACAGGGACAAAGCCGTTAGGGTTGTCGGGTTTTCCGGGCATGCGAAGAGATGTTTCGAGTCATGTGGGGTCACTCCGCATGCCGGACACTCATTTGGCACATCCGCATTCAGTCTACACAGGTATGAGTTTAACCTGCTGCAGTAGCCAGAGCGAAGTTGGGCTATTGTTGTTCGTGTCTCCCGAGGCAGATGAAGCTCCGTCTCGTCTATGTCAGGTGGTGGTGTGCCTAGCACGGCATTCAGAGGTCTAGAGTCTACATAGCTCTAGACTTGACTCCCTGTATATGCCGTTCAGGGCCAGTGGGTAAGCTGACGGGTCCAGAGGCTGCTTGATGAACCTCTGGACTTCGTCCGTCAGTTCGTATAGATGCCTCCAGACGTGCCTAGGCGAGGGCTCCTCTGCAAGCAGCTGTCTGTTCGGGTGGCCACTTCTGTGGCTCCCAATCAGGAACTGCTTGCAGAGCATTATGTTGTGCTCCTTTATAGGGAGCATTTCTGCCTCGTTGTGGAGGTGATGTTCTGGCGACATCAGGAGGCATCCTGTCGCTGTCCTGAGTGCGGTGTTTTGTACAGTCTGTAGCTTCGTCCACTGCGTCCTACTAGTCCCCGGCGACCACACTGGTGCTGCGTAGTTTAAAACCGGCCGGCCTATTGCCTTGTATGTTCCCAGCAACGTTTCTTTGTCTTTGCCCCAAGTACTGCCGGCTAGCGACTTGAGGACCTTGTTGCGGCTCTGTAGTTTATTGACAATAGCGGTTGCGTGCGCAGAGAAAGAGAGCAGGCTTTCGAATGTTACTCCGAGTATTTTGGGATTATTCACCGTCGGAATTGTTGTATCATCGACGTGAATTCCCAGCGGTAGCCTGACCTCCTTCGTCCAGGTTGTGAACAGGGTCGCAGAGGATTTCGTAGGGGAGAGGGCTAGAAGCTTTGCAGTGAAGAAGCGAGAAAGATCGGAGAGATACCCGTTAACTTTCGAACCATGATCGAGCAATCGTCGGTGTAAGAGACAATCGAGACTCCCTCTGGTGGTTGAGGGAGCTTTGAAATGTAAAAGTTAAACAGTAGCGGGTAAAGGACACCACCCTGTGGAACCCCTTGTTTTATTTTTCTGAGTTTACTCGATTTGTCTCTAAACATTACCGACGAGTGTCGACCACTCAGATAATTTGCCGACCACCGTTTGAGCCTCTGTGGGAAAGAGGAAGCCTCTATATCTTCTAGTAGCGTGGAATGGCAGACGGTGTCAAACGCCTTTGACAAGTCCAACGCTACTAGAATCGTTCTCTCACAGGGACGGTTACGGTCAAAGCCACGAGTTATCTGAGTATTTATGGCGTTAAGTGCTGTTGTTGTAGTGTGCACTTTACGGAAACCATGCTGATGCTTCCCTGGGGTCAGGTGATTTGTGAAATACGGGAGCAGCAAGGCCTCGAGTGTCTTCGCTACTGGGGAAAGGAGTGTTATCGGCCGATACGAATCTCCTTTGTTGGCAGGTTTCCCCGGTTTGAGCAGTGGGACCAATCTCTCCAACTTCCAGATGTCTGGGATGATGAGAGTGGCCATAGACAGATTGAGGACCTCCGTTAGGTACGCTACTCCCGCAGGACCCAAATTTTTCAGCCTCAGCATGCATATTCCGTCGGGACCCATGGCTTTGGAGGCTTTCGCCTTCCCGATGGCCACCTGAACTTCACCGCAAGTGAAAGCAAGGGGTGCACAAGTTGTTGGCAGTTTGTGCAGCCTTCTGGTCACTCGACGCTTGGCTTTGTCCACCGGAGGATGCAGTATGAACTGCCGGCTAAAATAGCTCGCTCATCGCTCCGGGTCCGACGAAGCATGGTCGCCGAAAGAAATTTCGACTCTGTCATTGTTCTTCGTCGGATTGGACAGTGACCTCATGGTTGACCAAAGCTTACTCACACCAGAGGTAAAGTTACAGGTCTTCAGATGCTCTTCCCACTTATTCCGCTTATGTACGTTCACTAGTTGCCGAATCTCCACGTTGAGATCCCTGATACGGGGATCTCCGGGATCGGCCTGACGAAGGCTATCACGCTCATCGGCTAGAACAGCCGCTTCAGCAGGGAAATTTGGACGTGGTTCCGTAATACATCCTGCCGGTACGAAGCGAGCTGCAGCAGCGGTGACAGCACTGCGGAACTTACGTTCACCAAGGTGGACGTCGGTTGGTGTAGGGAGAGCAGCGAAGGTATTTTCAGTAAATTCCGCGAAGCCTTTCCAATCAGCTTTAGAAAAGTTGATATAGGTCCGGTGTTCCGCGGAAGCAAAGTCGGTTGGTTTATCGATCGAGATGACTATGGGCAGATGGTCTGATGCTAAAGTCAGCATAGGTCGCCATGATATGCTGTTTATCAGACCAGCGCTGACTATTGTTATGTCTGGCGAGCTGCAGCAGCTGCCCATAATCCTGGTGGGTGCGTCATCGTTCATTGTGCAGAATGTCGAATCGTCTATCTGCTCAGCCAAGTCAGTTCCCCTACGATCGTTTGACAGGCTTGAGTGCCAAAGATCGTGGTGCGCATTAAGGTCACCTACTACCATACGGTTTTCACCTCTGAGGAGCGCACCTATGTCAGGGTGGTATCCTGCCGGCAGCAGGTGACAGGTGATATATATACGTTAAATATTTCGAGCTCAACATCGCCTGACCGGATAGCAATGCCCTGACATTCTAGGGCGGTATCCCTGCGGTCGATGTCTGCTTCGATGAGACGATACTGCACGGTGTGGTGCGTGATGAACGCTAGGCCACCACCATTATCTCGCTCGCGATCTCGACGGTGCACGTTGTACCCGGCACCATTCAACAGTGTTGAATTGCTGTGCAACTTCGTCTCTTGGACCGCAGCTATCAATATGCCATGCCTTCCCATGAAGACGGTTATCTCCTCGATCTTGCTCTGAAGCCCGTTACAGTTAAATTGAAGGAGCTTCATGTGGTTCGGGAGACGTGTGGTGATGCGGGGTGCAAGAGATGTGCGTGGTCGTGACGCCATTGGCTGTGTGCGCTGCTGAGGTGGTTGCCGCCCTGTGGTGGTGGTGGGTGGCGTGGCAGTTGAGATCTGCGACCGAGCAGCGCAACACGGGCCCTCGAAGTTCCTCGTCCAATCTCGCATGGTGCGCAGACCTAAGCATGCCCTAAAGTGGCGCCAGCCAAGGCAGGTATTGCACTTGACTGATGTCACATTACGGAATAGGTCTGACATACCGTGCAGATTGTAGGAGGAACCAGGAGTTGTTGTGTGTGTTCTGTGGTCTGTCGTGGTTGTGATATGGTCTATTGTGTTGTTACGTTGTTGTGCTGTGGTGATTGTGTG